GGTTTTCTCCTGGGCTACCTGACAATAAGACAATTTACTTTATGCCTTACGATAGTCTCTTCATCTCCTTCCCACTTCTTAAATTTTCAAAACTTCTCCCTATTTCAAAAACTTCTTGTTTTCAAACTTCACACATTTTTCTTAATAAACATAGGCTTTGTCAAGTGATCTAGAAAATCTTTTCTTAATAAACCTCATCAAACTACTTTTTGTGCCCTTGTGCATTTTTTTCTTTAAGAGTCTTTTTATTTTAAAATATTGGATATAAGTCTATTCTTGAAGTGATGTAATCACTATACTTCTACAAGATGTTGAGAAATGGCTGACATTTTCCACTTGAATGTTGAGATGTACTTGTGAGAAATTTCAAATAAAAGTTCTACATATTAAGATTATGCAAATGCTCATTTCCTCATACTTGTGGGTGTAACGCCTCAGACTTCTTTCAGGATTATCGACTGACCCCACAAATGAACACATGTTTTTTCAGCATGATTTATCCTCACTCACACGCTTTCCGAGAAACTTCTCAGAAGGTTACCCATCCCAAAATTGCTCCAAGTCTAGCACGCTTAACTATGGAGTTCTTATGGAACGAGCTACCGAAAAAAGATGCATCTTATTGGTATAGGTAGTACCAATTAACCTTTATAATCTTTCCTTCAACCATGCAGTCCCATACTTCCACAACCTCAAGATCCCTCTCATTCCGATGTGAATTTAGTTTTCCCTAGAAGCTGATAGGAGTGTCTCATTGTCATTCCTCATGCACCGACAACCACTATCTCTCCCTCAGATGTTACATGTAACCACTATCTGCCCTCTTCGACCTCGGGTATTACATGCGCACTAGATTCCGCTTGGTTTGTCCCGAACCACATCGTACTGAGAAAGATCTGGCTCTGATACCATTTGTAATGCCCTAAACTTCTTTCAGGATTACTGAATGACCTCACAAACCAACACAAGTCTTTTCAGCATGATTTTGAAGGTTGAGAAACACAAGAAAAATGGGGTTTGAATTGAGTTTCACATTTTGTTCCCTTTTGCGGAATTAGAAAAATAAATATAACAATGACAATAAAAATAAATGACACAATTATTTTTATCCTGGTTCACTGTTAATGAAGTTACTACAGTCCATCCCTCAAGGTGATTTCTCCTTATCACAGGGAATTAATCCAATAATCATCAACAATTACAACCACAATGGATACCTTCCATTGTCTTCTTAAGGATCCTGGAATTCACTTGCCTCTCAAGGAATCAACCTCCAAGCTGTTAGAAACGACCTGACCCTCTCAAGCATTCTGGTCTTTTTTCGACCGCTCAAGGAACAACATTCACTAAGATGTTAGAAACAAACTTAGTCATCTAAAGCATTCTAGTCTTCACTCGACCGCTCAAGGAACAACACGTTTTTCAAGGATTTTCTTATGTACTAATATGCTTCTTACAAGCTGATTACACAGATGAAGTACATGAACACCTAAGTGTTTCTAAGCAAGATATGAGCAACAACTTCTCACTTTGTAATACAGAAAACTATCTAAAGAATGAATCTCTGAGAGATTATAAAACATTAGTTCTATATTGCTTAGAAGTTTTCTTGATGAGCACTATGACTTCTTTTCATGAGCTTTTAGCTTCTTTTGATTAACTCCTTCTTGATCATATAATACTTCTTCCAGTTTAACCATCAAGATCAACTAAGTTATTATGCTTCACTTATTGATGTTTCACTTGACTAGTTTCACATGGCTTTAGCATGTTGCATCGTTATACGCACTTCAGTTATTTGCTTCAGCTTCTTCTCCATTGAGAATTCTTCATTTAAGCTTTAGCTTGTAGCATTTTTTTCCAGCACTTTGGTTTTGCATAGTACTGTGCTATCATCAGTAACTCGCTATCCATTAGCAGCAAATTAGCCATTCTTCAAGCTTCTTGATCTTCAATTTATAGAGCTTGAGAGAATAGATCTGTTGAGGGGTATTCTTGGAAACATATTCCAACAGCAATATCCCAATGTTCACACGAAGGGATGGTCAACATCATTGTACAAAAAGTTGCTCATGCGCCACCTTTTCGAGGTAGAGGTAACAGAGTTTTAGTACTATTATATTCAGCTTAAAACCATTCTTATCTTCAGTCTTCTAGCATCTTCAAAGGCTTCAGATATTAACTTGATAAAGCGTGTTGTAGAGGAGTCTTTCTTTGTGTAATCTTTAGAACCACAGTCTTTAGAATCTCAGATCTTTGTTCAGCAGTACTTATTCATAAGAATCTTCAGCACTTGGTTTCTTAGAAGCATTATCTTCAGAGTCTCTAGAATTTGTTCTATCAGAACCTCATCTTTAGAGTCTTCAAATTTTATTAATCACACTTTTTCCTTTAGAGTCTTAAACACTTCGTTCAATCAGAACCTTGTCTTCAGAAACTCTTCAGAACTTGATCTTTGGAAATGATGTCTTCAGAATCTTCAGAGCTTTGTTCACTAGAACCATGTCTTCAGAATCTTTAGAGTTGTAAAAATAGAAAGCACATTTCTTGTAAAGCCTTATAGGCTTATTTATAAAGTATCAATTAGAAACTTTGTTACTAAAGTTCCTTAGTACCGTTGCATTAGAAGTATTTCTGAATCTTGACTTTATCTTGTACACACACACACACACACACACACACACACACACACACACACACACACACACACACACACACACACACACACACACACACACACACATATATATATATATATATATATATATATATATATATATATATATATATGTGTGTGTGTGTGTGTGTGTGTGTTTTTCTTCCAGAGTGTTGATAACAGAGTCTGATGACGTCACACGTCTTCTTATCAGAGTCAGAATCATATTGATAACAACCACACACTAGAAACAAACCATATTATACAGAATTATTCTTTTAGATAATATGTGCAGTTATCATCAAAAATCAAAGGCCAGATGTAGAACTAAATCTTATTCTAACATATTTGTTCTCACTCACAGGTTTTCTGAGAAACTTCCCAAAAGGTCACCCATCCCCAAATTGCTCCAAGTCAAGCACGCTTAACTATGGAGTTCTTATGGAACGAGCTACCAAAAAGGAGATGCATCTTGTTGGTATAGGTAGTACCAATTAATCTTTATAAGTTTTCCTTCAACTATGTAGTCCCATACTTTCACAACTTTAAGATCTCTCTCATTCCGATGTGAATTCGGTTTTTTTCTTAGAAGCTGCTACGAGTGTCTCATTAGCATGCCTCATGCACCGAAAATCACTCCCCCACCCTCGGGTGTTACATGTAACCAGTCTCTGCCCTCTTTGACCTCGGGAATTATAGTGTATAGTAAGTTGAGTTTTCCACTCGAATACGATAAAATATATTTTCACTTAAAATCAATCAACAAACAATCCAACTTTATATAAACATAGATTTACAAGTAGTTCCCGTTGAGTACAATGGATGTGAGGGGTGCTGATACCTTTCCCTTGCATAACCAACCCCCGTATCCAGACCTTTCTTTTTTAGTTTTTTTTTCCTTCGTTTTTGCGGTATTTGTTTGGCCTTTTTCCTTTGGAAACAATAAAGTTTGGTGGCGACTCTTAATTTTTGAGTTAAGTTAATCAATAGCTTAATATCAACGATTTTTCTCGCCACGAAAGTTGGCGACTCTGCTGGGGACTAGTCCCTAAGAGGGTTAAGCCTAGCTTATTTATATGTGTTTAGTATTTCTTTTGTATATTATTGCTTTTGTTGTTTTTGTGTTTGGGTGTTTGGTGATCTTTGTGTGGTGACATAAGTCCCCTACCCGGACTTGAGTGTACTTAAGCTAGGATGGTGGTATAGTCATGTCGACCTTATGGGTGTTAAGCGTGTTTAGGTTGACATGAGAACCCCGCTCAGATGAGACCCTTTTGAAGGTACTAATGCCATGCGAGTAGTTGTAATGTCGTTATTATTTTTGACCTGGAAGTCTGGGATTCTGAGAGACCTTTAAAACATTTCTAACCTTTCTAACCTTTTATGACGTAGTGTGGTGACCCTCCAGGCATAGGCCTGATATGGTTGATACACGATACTACACTCAGATGAGGCTCTTTGTTACCTCGACTCTATAGCCGAGGTTAAATGGATTTCGTGTCTGAGACTAAATGTATTATTTGTAGTAGTGATAGTTAACTGATTATAGTAACTGCACAGAGAAGTGACTGCAGTGGATCATGGTCCGTCGAACTATTAGAATATTAATTTTATGTAAGAACATGATAATGAATCTGAACTATATTAGATTTTAAAATAAATTGTGAAGATTATTTCTGGTTTTTTTCTCTCTCCTCCATCATTTATTTAAATGAAAGAGGAGAGAGGAAAAAATCACAAATAATCTTCGCCATTTATTTTAAAATCTAATGGTTTAGATTTATTCTCACATAAAAATGACATTCTCATATATATATATATATATATATATATATATATATATATATATATATATATATATATATATATATATATATATATGAACAATTTTTTTTTCTTATGTCTACTCACTCTCTCTCCAATTTCGAAGAGTTATTAATATTTCAAATGCAAGTTAATTTGATTCATAGCCAAGGTTTAAATGAGTGAGTAATTATTATTATTTTTATACTTTTTATTTTACAACTGTTTTAAATTTTTTTATGAATTTAGTAACTTAAAATTATAATGCTGAGTTGCTATTACTAAACCAAAACATCAACTATTCTACAAATCATTTAAAGAGAAGTACGTTAACATAAGATACATTTCATTAGAAAACATCACACAACATACATATAATATAACATAGTGACATGCTTCCAACCTGTCTGTTGAAAGGGAAAGTAGATAGTTGAAGAATACAAAACACAAGTAGAAAAAGCTTGATCATAACTGATTAAACGTAACCATAACCAACACATAGTAAAAACACCATCAGATAGGTAACTACCATTGAAAATAACTAGAGCAGGTTGGTACAGTTTTGAGGGGGAAAATCAATCTCAAACAGATCAAAAGAAGGTAATCCATGAGCTTTATGAGCAAGCCTGTCAGCAACTGAGTTTTGATCACCAGGGATCCAACTCAACTTGGCTTCCCAATCAGTACTACGAAGAAGACCTCTTATTTCACATATGACTGAATCATTAGATCTACGTCCAGAATTCACTAAATTTACAACCCCAGAATTATCTGATTTCACCTCAACTTTCCTCTTTCCGTTTTCCCTAACCCATTCCAAACCTTTCAGAATTGCTTGTCTCTCAGTTTCGTCTTCTCTTAACCTTGGATCCAACTTCTGAGAGAATCCGCGTATCCATTTCTCTGACGCGCTGCTTAGGTATCCACCACAGCCTGCTTTTCCGGGCAGAAGCGAACCGTCCACTTTCAGTATCACAACCTCAGGATCAGGTTGACGCACTCCATATGGTGTCACTTCAGCTTGGGGTTGGTTTAGGACACTGTATAAGCCACCAACTACGGCCGCCGTTGCCGCGGCTGCACCCGCTATTTTAAAAAACGTTGAAGCCCACCCTCCTTCTTGACCGTCCTTGTTATCCTTCTCATCGTTTTTTCTACTACCACTCATCCTCTTTTCTTTCAACTGATCCACACATAGACGATTAGTTACTTATATATTAAAGATACTTAATTATTGTAATTATTCGGTATAATAGAAACTAGAAGACTTGACCTTTAGACTTTTGAGTAAAAAGAAAATATATATACTATGAAAATGAATAATAGTACGCTCAAGTGAGTGAATCAATAATGTTTAAGATGAAAAAGCCAACGTCATATTTCTTAATATATTCTACTACTCATTTCAATAATAGAATAGGAAGACTGACTTTCCATAAATCAAGTTGTTCATCAGAGCATTGACTCCAGTGTTCTTTATTATTTAAACAAAGGAAAATCATGGCTTCTACCATCCACTTTGCAAATTTTATATATAAAAACATAAATTGTTAAATGGCAGCTGTACTTTAAATATAGAATTTTTTTAAGTTAGTGATTAACTCTTCAAATTAATATGTAACATAAGGGTCAAAATTAATAAAGATAAAGCTATATAGCTTAATATACTCAATGAAAGGGTGCTTAAGATACTAAAGAAAAAGACAGAGTTAGGTAGAAATTGTTAGAAAATACTCACAAGACTGGCTGTGCAGGTTGGTATTGCTTGGCCTTCAATGAGCGTACGTTTTTTTTTTGAAAGGCCTAAAATAGCAATAAATTACCAACACTGCCAAATTTTCAGTCCAACCAAAGCGGAGGAACCACACATTTATAACACAAAGGAAGAAGTGAAGATGGCGACAAAACACCGAAACCAATACCAACACTGATACCCTGATGCCAGTTTGATACTGCCAATATAATGCTATTCCAAATACACCAATGTCAGCTCGATACAGAAAACAATCCAATTACACTAACGCCAATACGAAACCTCAACAAACTCTATAAGATCCAAGAATAATCAATCCAAGACTTGGACACTGTCCTCCACTTCAAACAGGGCGACACACGTCCCACCAACGATTCCACTAGAATACGACAAACCAACCATCACCAAAATAATTCGCACTTATCCTACCACCGTTGAAAATGTTGGAAATAAAATCTTTTGTGTTTAGTGAAAGTGTGTGGGAATATTAGAGGCTTGAATAGAAACTTGATAAATAGGTGAATTATTTATGGAAGAATGAACTTTGTATTTTGCTTGATGCAAAAGTGTAGAATTACATATCTATTTATAGTACTCTAAGAAAAACTCTAGACACACTCATTCTAGAGAGTTCTCAACTCTAAGAATTCCAAGAGCATTCTAGAAAATATTACAACCCTAAAAAATATTTAGACAGTCCAAGCATTACAAGAGTTTTTTAGAAACATTAATTAAAATTATCTAAGTTCAAAATAACTAAGCCTAAAAATTCAAATTATATGTTTAGACTCAAATCAAGTTTAATCTTTCAACATCTCCCCTTAAACTTGATTTGTGACTCTAAGCATACTTCTTAGCTTTACGAAAGTTTTCAACTTGAGTGGCTTGGTGAAAATGTCAGCAACTTGATCTCAAGACATCACATAATTCAACTCCACATCCTTATTCTCGATGCATTCTCTTATAAAGTGGTAACGAGTGTCGATGTGCTTACTTCTTTCATGAAATACAGGATTCGTTGCCAAAGCAAGTTCTAATTTATTGTCGATACATATTTCCATAGGATCTTCTTGTGGCATTTTTAACTCTTTCAACAAGTTCCTTAGCCAAATTGCATGGCAAATGCATGATGTAGCGGCAACATATTCGACTTCACAAGTTGACAGCGTGACGAGAGGTTGTTTCTTTGACATCCAAGTGAAAGCAGTATCTCCCATAAAGAACACAAAATCAGTAGTGCTCTTTCTATCGTCCAAGTCTCCACTCCAATCGCTATCATTATAGCCAACAATTTCATAATTGTTACAAGAGTAATAGTGTAAACCAAAGTTTGTTGTACCTTTGATATATCAAAGGATTCTCTTTGCTGCCTTGAAGTAAGTTGTTGTTAGAGCTTCTATGTATCGACTTACGACTCCTACATCATAGAAAATACCTGGCCTTGTACTTGTCAAGTAACGTAGACTTCCAACCAAACTTTTGTAAAGAGTTGGATCCACAAGCTCTCCATTTTCATGCTTACTCAACTTGCTGTCACATTCTATCGGGGTGCCAACCGGATTGGCATCATCCATCTTGAACTTCTTAAGGACTTCTTTTGCATAGCCTTCTTGGGTGATAAAAATTCCTTTGTCTTCTTGCTTTGCTTCAATGCTAAGATAATATGCCATGAGCCCCATATCTGTCATCTTAAATTCATTTGACATGTCTTTCTTGAACTCTTCGAACATGCTTAGATTGTTCCCAATGAAGATCAAGTCATCAACATATAAGCACACAATCAAAATATCTCCACTTTGCAATTTAATATATAGTGCATGCTCATATGGACACTTGATGAAGTTCTTGTCTTGAAAGTACTTGTCGATTTCCAAGCTCTCGGTGCTTGCTTGAGTCCGTACAACGCCTTTTTCAACTTGAAGACTTTTTCTTCTTGCCCTTTTACTTCATATTCCTGTGGTTGCTCGATATAAACTTCTTCTTCGAGAAAACCATTCAAGAAGGCCAACTTCACATCCATTTGATAGATCTTTCATTCATTTTGGGCTGCCAAAGAAATGATCAGTCTAATAGTTTCAAGACGAGCAACGGGGGCAAATACCCCATCATAGTCAATTCCTTGTCTTTGACTATAGCCTTTTGCCACTAGTCTTGCTTTGTATCTCTCCATGTCTCCTTTTGCATTCTTCTTCGCCTTGTACACCCATCTTACTCTGATTGCTTTGTGTTCTCGTGGAAGTATAGTAAGTTCCCATGTATCATTCTTCGCGATTGACTTTATTTCTTCATCCATGACGTCTCTCCACTTTACGTTTTCAACAGCTTCTTGATAGCTTAGAGGCCCGCAATCACCAAAAAGACAAAAGAGGTTAATGTCATTTTGGTTTTCGGTTACCTCATAAAGCTCTTCAATGCTCCTTAATCGTGGTGTCCTCTCACTTGAGCTTGTTTCATCCAACCTTGGTGTCGGTGAGGCTGGTGGTATAATATGTTCATCTATCATTGGTTGTTCCATTTCATCTTCTTCTTCTTCAAAATAAGGAAGAAAATTATACCTGTCTTCTTAAACACTCCAACTCCAACAATCTTCTTCTTCGAACTCCACGTCACGACTTATGACAATCTTTCCACTATTTAGATTATAGAGCTTGTACCCTTTGGAGCTTGAGTCGTAACCCACAAATACATGATTCTCACTTTTATCATCGAGCTTTGTTCTCCTTTCATCTAGGACGTGGGTATATGCAATGCTTCCAACACTTTGAGGTGAGAGATCCCTGGCTTCCTTCCATTTCATACTTCTTGTGGTGTCTTCTCATGCACACTTCTTGTTGGGGAACGGTTTGTCAGGTAAATCGCACATGCCACTGCTTCGGCCCAAAACTCTTTCGGCATCTTCTTACTCTTAAGCATGCTTTGCACCATATTAAGTATGGTCCGGTTCTTTCTCTCCGCTATTCCATTTTGTTGTGGAGATCTTGGTACTGTTAGTGAGTGGCGGATTCCATGGTCTTCACAATATTTGTTGAAATCATTTGAAGTAAACTTTCCTCCTCGGTCAGATCTCATGGCCTTAATAGAAAGACCACTTTCTTTCTCCACAAAGGCTTTGAACTTCTTAAAGTTTCAAACACTTCTGACTTCTCCTTCAAGAAATAAACCCATGTTTTTCTAGAATAATCATCAATAAAGAGGAGAAAGTATTTATTCTTGCCAAAAGATTTTGAATTGATTGGTCAACAGACATCAGTGTGTATGAGCTCTAGTGGTTTTGTCGCTCTTGATGTTGATTCCTTTGGAAAGCTTTTTCGGGATTGCTTCCTAATTAGACATCCTTCACATAGTTGTCTGGGTGGTTTATACTAGGCAAGCCTCTCACCATCTCCTTCTTTGACAAACATTCTAGACTACCGAAGTTGAGGTGTCCAAATCGTAGACGCCATAGCCACGAAGAGTCAGTATAGCAAGCATTGAGACACTTTGCCACATCATTTTGAATGTTCAAGAGGAACATTCTATTCTTTGACATAGACGCCTTAGTGATCAAGTTATGCCCACAATCTCTTAAGAAAAGACTATGTTCTTTCAAGTGGATGTCATGTCCTTTCTCCAATAATTGTCCCAAGCTCAAAATATTATTTTTCATGTTAGGAACATAGTAGACATTGGATATGAATTGATGACTCTCATTCTTTAAGCGTATCAGAATTTTACCTTTGCCTTTGACCAGTATCTTTGAGTCATCTCCAAATGAGACATTTCCAATTGTCGCTTCATTGATCTCTATGAACATGCTTCGATTGCCACACATGTGGTTGCTTGTACCCGGTGTCGAGGTACCACTTATTTCTTTTCTCTTCAAATTGGTTTTGGAACGCGAGTAGCAAAGTTTCTTCTTCTCCATCTTTTTCTTCTACAAAGTTAGCTTTCTCCACAACCTTCTTTGAGAATCTACACTCAGATGCATAGTGACCGATTTTGTTGCAATTGAAGCACTTGATTTGTAACTTGTTGCACCTTGACCATGAATTTCCATTTCCACGACCTCTTGTTGCTTGTGGATTCCAACTTCTTTCTCCATTGTTGAATTTGTTGGAGTAGTTGTTGTAAATGTCTCTTCTTTCTCCTTCATGTCCTCGTCCACGTCCACGTCCACGGTCTTGGCCACGACCTTGTCCTCTTTGACTCTTGTAATTCGCATAGTTTTCTTCCTTTGCATTGAGTTGTAGTAGTTGCTCCATAGTCTCCTTTTGTTTAGTTTTTCTCTTTTGTTTTTCTATGTATGCTTGTAAGGAACCCATAAACTGCTCAATAGTCATGGTGTTTAAATCCTTTTTTTCTTCAATGTTGGTAACAATGAAGTCAAAACTTGGATTTAAAGTGCGAAGTATTTTCTCCATGACTTCCACCTCATC